TTTTTCTCTTCTATAATATTAAAAATCAGCTTCTAAGATTATCTAAGAAATTGTACTAGACTATGTCAATGAATATGAATTATATTGAAAGTATTTTAATTACAATAAAGAAGAACACGATAACTAAAAAAGCAGCCTTTTTTTGAAAAATTCTATGTTTCATCAAAATAATATTTCAATGGAAATATTTTTCTTGTAGTTTTTACTTTCAAAAAAAAAATCATTCAAAGATGAATGATATTTGTTAAATAATTGACGAACAATCATTATTGAATCACCTATTAATGAAAAAAAATTTCTCAAATCGAATCAACAAAAATATTTACCTTGTGTATTAGTTGGATATTTTTTAATATCCAACATAAAAAATGGTAATTCAGCTTCAAGAAATAAACGTTTATTCAACAAATTTGAATCTATTGGATGACCCTAAAATGATTTTAGATTATTAAAAAAGAAAAGCATAAGCAAAATAATACTTCAATAAGACTTTTAATAACAACATCAAAGAAAACATTCCATCGTTGAGCATAATAACTTTAAAACAACAAAACAATAAAATTATATTATTATCTAATGTTTAATAAGATACTTTTCAATCAATCCTGACCAAAATTTATTTGCATAATCATACAACTGTAATGTATAATTATTTCCCCAAATTGATACTTGAAGTTTAGCATTAAAATTATAAAAATGAATATTTTCTTCATTTTGTGCAAATTGTAATGCATCTTGAATCCAATTTCCTAATAAAAATCGACGATCAGAAGCTAATACTAATTCTATATCTGTTAATATATCAACAAGAATAGCTGCTTGAGTACTAAAAAAACATATCAAACGATTTTTTTTTGTTGCAAAAACAACAATAAATTTTGTTTTTCTAACAGACCTAACACCATAAAGATCACTTTGATTATAAGCAGACATAAATTGAATATAAACATTAACAAATTTATATTGAAGAATTTCTTTAGTTATATCAACTAAATCATATCGAAATAAATCTGAATTTAATTCATTGGATGCATTAACTAATAATTCCCATGCTAAGAATAAACATTGTATATCAAAATAGATCTATATGAAAAACTTTCAATGAAAACAAATAAAAATCTTATTTGATATGTTTCTAAAACTTACATTTTGTTCAATATTAAGTCTCGGTCGACTTAATATAATTGGACGGTCAGGATGAACATTTCTTAGATAAACTGAATTTCCTAATAATTTCCATGCAGATAACGCTGAATTAGGTATTGAATGGTCACCTGTATATCGACGTATAACAAAACCAATGAGCCTAATTTACTAAAGAGTTTTATTCGAAAACAAAAAAAAAGCTTCAAACAAAATATTACCAATCATTTAATTCGATATTATTTAATGGACTTCGCCATGATTGTTCAAGAGCAAATTCATACATAATTTCATTTTGATTAATACCTTCCATTGTAATACCAACTCCAATCATATGATCACCAGAAAAATTTCGTGCAGATTGTGGACCCTAACATTATTAAAAAAAGAAAAATGATTATTTATCGAATTAAAATAAATTTTATTTACATTAGTAATACTAATAAGTGAACCAAAGAGAAAATTATTTCCACCAAAATCATGTAACATATTCCATATATAATAATGTCCATAGAATGATTCAAAAAGTAAATATTGTGGAAGAGCTTCAGAATATAGATCAAGAAGAATTAAGCGACCCTGATTTTAAGTTATATATATATATATATATATTTAATGGAAAAATAAAACTATTCTTACTATTGGAACTTTACTAAGATAACTTCTTACACGATCAAGAGTCCAAAAACTTGAAAGAAATAGCCAAGCTTGCATTATCCTTTATTATAAATGAAAGAAATAAATATATAAAAAACAAATACTCCTACCAAACAGCATTTGGATCAACTGTTTGCATAACTTGAAATATACCTGCATTAACATCAGCTAAATATTCAAGATCACTGAATGAAACTTTTAAAATTAATATCAATATTGATAAAGATAAACTTTACCTAATAGGTGGTGTCATTTCATTAAATAGATCACAAGAATAATAATGAGAAGTTAAATTAAGCATATTTATTGTCTATTTATCATACATTTTAGAATTAATATTACTATCCATTTTAAAATAGAAGACGACTGATTGCAAGTCGAATAACTCGAGAATGGAAGCAGCTACGAAGCTGCGATTTTCACCATTAGAAAGCAAATAGCGGGGCATATAAATCTATGAAAAAGTTTTATTGGCGAGTAATAGACCAATAGGATGAAAACCCGCTGGATATTTTGAAGACAGCTTTTGAAACGCTTTTTTTATTGTATTTTGAACTTTAATTGAACCATTCGATAGAAAAAATTCATCTCTTTC